TCAAAGCCTTTACTTTAAAATATACGCCGTTCAATAGCTGAGCTTAATCTTACAGAGAATGATCAAAGCTCATGTAGAAACAAATGAACAAAAGATTTTCTCCTTCATTTCTGTCAAACAAAGCTGTATGACACGTTTCCAGTGGTTAGTATCATGGTTGCTAGGCAACCTGGGCAGCGCAACGCAGCCTTTTTTTTTTTTTACTTTATTGACAAACAACAGTATCAGCGCAACGGAGGCTAGACCGTCCCATTTCACAAGCCTTGCACTTCCGGCCTTAGCGGTCTTTAAGTACGCGGCCCTTGAGGATCGTTGAGGCTGCGTACTTTAAGGCTGCAGACCCTGAATTGGGAGACAGCCTACACCTGTCGCTGTACCGATCGGGTTTCCGGTACCGATCGGGTAGTGACACCGCCACGTCCTTGAAATTCAGGGAAATGAAGGACGCATTTGAGGGCCGCATTTCGAGCAGCCTTCGTCGCGTCGCTGTGACGTAATCGGTCTTAAAATGCGGCCTTTAAGGCTGCAGACCCTGAATTGGGATACAGCCATAGTCTATTCCTCGTCCACACGTAAACACAAAAAAAGTTTTAAAAGATCTCAGTTTTCGGTGATTCGAACGCCGTTCACGTGTGGACGAAACAGTTGCGTTTTCAAAAATACCCGTGTAGGTGCGGACGTAGTGTAAAAGAGTTAGTAGTTTATTTTATTACTCCCTGTAATTTATTGCAGATTACTCCTATTTGCTTAATTGTTTACTAAATGTTTGAGGTGTGAAATAAACCGCAATGGAGCAAAATATGGCTGTGTGTGGTTGGAGGATGTGTTTGTGCGTGGGCGTGGGCGCGTGCACGCGCTAGGAAGGGGGGGAGGCGAACATTTTTCTTGTAAAACAAAGGGGGGCCCAGCAAAAAAAGTTTGGAAACCACTGCTCTAAGCGATAGATTTGTGTGGAGAAAGCCAGATTTGAAGTTTATGCTTTTATTTTGAAGGGAGGTCTTATAAAGCGGAAGTCCGTTCCGCCTGCACGAGACGTCACACTAAACAGGGACAGTTTTTATTTGGACCCAAGATAAGAAAGCGGAGGACAACCCAGACGCAATCAAAGCTGTTGGCTACGCATTTATTACGAACGGTATGTAACGGGAGCTCTTACTAAACACAGAGCGACATGTTTTTAATCTCAGTGGATGTGTGTACGCCGTTAGTCGTTTCAGGCTTAGCTAGAAGCTAACCTCAGTTAAGCTAGTAAAGGCAGCCTGTAAAAATTGCAGCAGCTACTGTTTGGAGAAACAGTTGGATAGCCGTGCTGCCATGTTTCATGCAGAGGAGTGTGAGCTTGGGATAATACTTTTAGCATCCATATGAAAAAGATCTGTTTGTATCATAAATGCTGCAAAATGTGGGCCGCATGTGCATGTTCTCTTAGATGGTATACAGTTTAAAACACTTTTCTTTGTTAAAAAAAAAAAAACATAAGAAGAGACTTGTATAGATATACATATGTATATGAGTGTGTATACCTGTGTACAGGCAAAGCAAAGGCCTAATTGCAAACAGGGGATTCCCAGGATTTTTAAAATGGGGTGGCACAGACCTCCCCTAAACCTAACCTAACAGCATGACAAGGTTTTAGTAATAAAAAACACTTTGTTAGGTTTAATTGTTTAAAAAAAGCACCTGGTGAGGTTTTGATAACCAAAATAGCAAGTGATGTACAGATGGCAATTTTTTCTTTATGATTATGATCATCATAATCATAAAGGTCTTTTTTCTTTCTTTTCTTTTCTTTTTTTTTTTTTTTACTGAGAACTGTAGTTGACAGGATATTTGACAGGGAGAATCAACTTTTCTTTAATGCAAAAAAATTTCATAGTGCATTAAGGAAATCTGATCACTTATTTTACTAAGTTACAGGGTCCTATTTCCCTGTGCACTGCTAAAAGAAAGAGATACAGATATTTAAATGAAGATTAGCTTGTGTACACCCACTTTTTACCACACATTTTGAAAATGTAGGTGTGTGGAAACGATTGAGCAGTAGCAATTAATGAGTAATTACTCTAACTTATAATTTTAACAGATAACCTTTCTCTTATTAGTCACCTTGGCCAATGTGTGATGTAGAGGAATAAGAGTATAGCTTGAAGAAACTTTAATTAACTCCTATTTAACATGTTAGCAATGATATTCTGCACTGAGAAGAGTCATGAATGCAGAACCATTAGCGCTTACTGGGTTTGATAACACAGGCAAGTTCCGCATGTAAGTTAACAGACTTTTCATTTTACAACTGCAATCTAAAGGTCTTATTCAACTTACTTTTGGCTCAGTAATATTCTTTCATCTGTAACGTAGATGTATTGCAAAGACTTCTCAGAGTAGTCCCTGCACATAAATTCAATAATTTACATATAGAGAGTTGTTTTTCAAAGCAAATACATGTAATTTAATTTCAAAAATGGATAAATATCATGAAAATTTAATTCAGATGAAAAATAAATGAAGGGAGAGGTGGTGTAGTTAGAGAGACAATGCTGTCTGTTATTGAGTTGGGCTGTAGTTACGTGGATTTGTATGCCTCAGCACACCTGGACCACCATGGCCACCAAACCCGAGCTCAAGCGAACTGCTAAAAAACCCCACTGAGCGATCCAGAGAGAAAAGCAGCTGCAGGCAGCCTTTAGCTCCTCTAGGTCAGCTGCAGATACTGTGTTTTACTTCTTCTTGATTTGGAAAACAGACTAAAGTGCTACATTGTGAAAAACTGAATTGAAACATGATGTACATAGTGCTGAGTTATGCAGAACTGAATTTTAGAAGACACAACGAGTAGGAATGTTAATATTTTGTTTAATTATTAAACCAAAAACTTGTTAGGAAATATGGCTTTTTGAAAAGGTCACTTAGATGCAGCTTTGTGTCTCTGTAGTTTACATTTTGAGTAAAGGTGTTATTTTGTCCTATGAAAAAGTTTGTTTGGACACAGTTTAATTTTTTTTATTTTTGGCAGCAGGAAGCTGGATCGAGTCTGTGGGCTGTATTTCACACTCTGTGCTCTAGTTTCAAGTTATTGACTTGAGGCACTTTTAGTCTAGAGTTGTATTTCCTGCATTTCTAAGAATCATTTAATTTTAGAAGTTGTGCATGATGTGTAGTATACGAGCACAAAATGTTAAGATGTTAAATACTTGCTAGATAATATCTGGTAATGTTATTTTGTAGCTTTTGTACTACTAGTATTATTGCTGTTGTTTTTGTTTGTTTGTTGTTGTTGTTTTTTACTGCTCCTGAAACGTCTTGTGAAATTGTTCAAGTCCTCTATCTTGTAGGCTGTCTGGAAGCATTTTTGTTCTATCCCAGACACACACATTCATTTTTATTTATTTTTAACCATTTTTAATATCCTCATTCAAATATATAATTTTTCATGAAGTTGGTAATCTCATCTCTCATCGAATGGATACTGGGACATTTTCCTGCACCAAAAACTTCACGGAGAGGAGTTTGGACATGGACATGTTTTACCACACCACAAAGTAAAGCTGGATTTACGGTCTGTCCGTACTGCATGTCAGATACCAGATTGGTTTGGCTTTCTCAGGCTGCAAGACAATGTCATCTGATGAAAATATGTGGACTGACTGAAGATGAGCCAAAAGCATGTTTTGTTTTTTTTTGTTTTTTTTCTTGCTAACCTTAATATTTTTTTTGTTTTTATTTTAATTTTTTTTGCATTACCACTTGCATTGCCTACCAGATCAACAAGGAGTGTATCGTTTGTTTTTATTTGAGAAGTAATGTCTGGATATAATTTTTATTGAAGATATACTTTTGCAATCTTTTTGGATAATACAGTCAAAGGTTGGGTAATGTTTTCAAATTTTCTAAATGGCATCAGCATTTAAATACCTGAATGTTGATACACAACTTAGATTATAAGTGTACATACATTCATGGACATAAATGTCAAATCAATATAACGCTGTCAGTAATTTATGAGAAATGTAATTTTTTTTCTGGGGCTGAATGGCTGCATAACGTATATTAGGGCTGCTCAATTAATTGAATTTTAATCTCGATTACGATCTAGGGTTTCAACGATCATTAAAAATGACTGAGCCGATTATTAGCCCCTCCCTCGTGCTTTACTCTCGCGCTGCTCCGTGTGGCAAACCGAGCGCACCTCTCTGCATTTCGAACACGTGTCACAACAATTAAGAGCAGCGGTCTCCAACCTTTTTTGCGCCACGGACCGGTTTATGCCCGACAATATTTTCATGGACCGGCCTTTAAGGTATAGCGGATAAATACAACAAAATAAAACTAGTACCGGTACCGAAAAAAAAGGAAATTTATTCATAACACACGTGAAAAGACCAAGGAAAACCAAGTAAATGATTAAAAACAATAACAAAATAACGCTGAAAACCGATTAAAAACCCTGAAAACTATACATTTCACACCTGAGCCTCAACTCTCGCGGCCCGGTACCAAACGACTCACAAACCGGTACCGGTCCGAGGCCCGGGGATTGGGGACCGCTGATTAAGCGGACCCGAGGGAAGCTCTGAAAGCTCAGCAGAAGTTATTTGGAGAGGAGAGTGACTGCTGTTGGTTGAAAAGAGAGGTAAAAAAACTTCAGTGGTGTGGAAACGTTATGGGTTCGCGGAGTCAGATGTGGATCAAGTAGACATAGTGTGTAAACTTTGCTACATTGTCGTAGCTGCACCACAGAGCAACACTGCAAAGTTCACTAAACATAGATGTTTACATTTTTCATTTATTTTTTATATTGCAAACATTTGCACTGTTATCAGTATTTGCACACTATTTTATATTATTTTTTTGACAGTCTTTAAAGTCATTATTCAATACATTGTTATTGTTAAATAAATATCGTCAAATAATCGAGATCTCAATTTCAGTGAAAATAATCGTGATTATCATTTTTGCCATAATCGAGCAGCCCTAACGTATATCTTTCATAGTAAAACAGTCAAGAATTTGGTGCCAAATATTTTGTCTATATTTGGGGTTTTCTGAAATGTGACCGTATACCTGCTTACATTTTAGTAGCAGTGAAAGTTTGAAAAATTCTGAATTTGTCAAGGCCAAGGTTATAATTGTGTCAGAAAGGTTTGGTTCACAGCACTCATTGGTAGAAGCTTGGGGAATTCCCAGGACATCACTGGAGATCTGAAGAGGATTATAGGAGTACACAAGTGAGAAATGTGTCTGAGCCCTTTCTAAACCATTGCAGATTCTGGCATCATCAGATGGAATGGAATAGAATAGATTCAATTATAGAAGTCATTGGGAACTGTACATACTTTGTTAAGATTTGAAAAAGACCCGAAGGACACCATAAAAAGTTGGTTTGAAGAGTCAAAAACCACCAAAGCACAGCTCTGCCATGGATTGGGAGCTGACAGAAGATCATTGCTGAGCAAGTTTTACATCACCATTGACCGAGAGGCTGCGTCTGAAGAGAAAACCCACTGCAACAAAATCAATACTTTTAAAATCAGTTAATGTTGATAACCTACCAAAAGGACAAAGAAGACTTTGAGAGATTTTTTTTTATGAACAAGCATTGAGCTGTTGCTGCCAGTGAAGCTGGTACATCGAATTAGAGTGGATATAATAATGAAAGAAACAGACTACTGAAGAATTCTTTAGCAACTCCCCAAACCATTGTGCAAAGTTTCGACAAAATCAGATATGTCAATAGGGCTAGTTTTGGAACAGGCTAGCTACTAAGCTTTTGGAATGGCCTTTTCAAAGTCCTGAGCTTCAGCTGATAACAAATTATGTGGACTATACTTGAAAGTCAGATTTTTGCCAGGGAAGAAATTATTTCAAACAAAGTGGTAAAATTTGCAAACAGAATGATACTACAAAAGCATAGGTGTTCTGAATGTATATGTAAGAAAACCTTATATGAATTCAATTTTGCGCACAGATAATTTTTTTTTACTCTTAAAAATGTACGTTGCACAGTCATTCTGCCCCAAAAAAGCTCAGTTCAAATTATTCAGTGATTTATAATGATGTTCTCTAAAGTACAAATTGGTTTTTAAATTTTTGTAGTCAATCTGCTGGTGGTAAATGAGTTTGCCTGCATTTTTTTTCTTCTGTTTTCTGACCTTGTTTTCTCTTTTTATCTGACCTTTGATGTTTGTGCTTCCTGTTTATTTCTAGTAGTAAAGATCCTGATATTGTAATGATAAATTTATATTTGGCAGGAAGCAACAGAGTGAACAAATCCAGACAAGACCTTCCAGATGGATTTCACCCATCCAGGAAGCTGAAGCCCACACCAGTTCAAAAACTTTTTTTTTTTTTTAAATTTCTCAGTTTTGTAATTGCTATTGAAGATTTCCCTTCTCCCGCACCCAGGATCACCATCAAACCACATACTTGAAGTTCTCTAAAGGATCTCTCTACACACAAGACTTCGTGATTATGGTTGCCTGACTGAATGGTCACTTTGCATTTTGCACGAGCTCCACATTGACAATGACCTCCAGCATACCTACTTTGTAAAAAAAACCAAAACAAAACACTCAAACACCCATTCCATTGACTGCTGTGGCCATCCTTGACTTTCTGAACCATGTCCCATCCCCTTCATAACCCCTATAATTTTGGGATAGAAAGTTCTGCGCAGTGTCGAAATGCGCTTAGCTCTTCTGGAGCATCCTCTGGAACTTCTGACACTACGTTGGGAACAATTCCTTCACTGCGTGCTTTTCCAGTGAGCTACACCCCCCCACAGAGTAGTTCTATTTTAGATGGAGGCATGAAGAGATCTACAGAAATGTATCTTGGTCAAGCCAGGACAGAGATGAGACAGCAGCCTGTTAACCAGGCCCCTTGCTTTACCAGCACTCAAGAAGACAAGTTTATTTCTTCAACTGCAACGGTTGCCTCCAGTCCAATGTGCTCAGCATCTCAAAGACACTCTGATTTTAAAAGTGGGCCTTGCTCCTTGGACTGGTCAACCTATAAGAAAGTCACTGAAAATGTTTCTTCTAGATTTTTTTCATCTACTTCACTGAGCTTCCAAGGCAGTGGTGAAAGAGAACAGGATATGCAGTCCATTCCAGGCTTAGGTGATTCTGACTATCGAATGCAAGAGAAACCTGTGCTCAATACTGATTCCAGTTACCCAAAGTACTCTTCACAAGAAGCTTCTAACATCCTTTTACGTTTTGGACTTGAAAAAGATGACTTGGAATATCTGATCTCCTACCCTGAAGACCAGATAACCCCTGGCAATCTGCCTTTTATCTTAAGGCAAATCCGCATGAAGAAGGCTGAGAATGTTAAACCTATTGTTCATTCAAAAGCCTGTCCTGAACCTCAACCCACCCCCAGCATGACCGTAATGGACAGGTTCAGAAGGGAAGGGATGCAACAGGGCGAATTGGCACAGATTATCAAACCAAGTAAAGTGATTGACTATGGACATACTAGCAAATACGCTGGAGGGTTTGGCAGTGATATAGGAAAGAGCAGTGAAAGTAGAGCTAACAGTAGTGAGAGTGGCAGTATGTTGCTCATGGACACTTGTGATGGTGACAATTGCAATAGAGAACCACTGCAAGAAGGTACGGCAGAGGTGAAAACCAGCACCTTGGTTTCTTCACATGACCACCGGGGTACTGTTTCCATTAATAGTTCAATGCAGAGCTATGAGCCTCCTCCAAGCAGGAATCTAACTCAACGATTGCTGACTCAGCCACACCAGGCATCTCAAGAAATCATCAGCTCTTTCTCTCTGCCAAAGAAAGACACAGACTTAAGACTTCTCAAATTCAAACCAGTTCCTTTGAAAGAACCAGAGCCAGATTGCCATTTGGCATTAAAAATCCAACCACCTCTTAGTCATATTGCACGTGGTGTGCATCCTGATCAACCTGGGCTTGTGCTCATCGGCAAGAAGGATAACAGCTGCACCAAGGATCAAAGTAAAAGTCAACAACAAGTGCCAAAGGTTGCTAAACCCATAAACAATCAGAAGATGCACCAAAGGCAGATGCAGCAGGAGCTAAAGAAACAGGCGGAGCAGCAGCAGGACCAGAAACAACCACCAGTGCAAATGGGACAATGCCAGTCTGCAAAACCAGCTACTCCTCTAGCACCTCAGATAATTCCTAAACCAGTGAACTTCGTTTATATGCCGCTGCCACTTTCCAGCACGCAGTGTCGTGCAGACAGGGAGCTATCAAAGGTTCTGCCAGCGTTGGCCATGATGCAAGACTATGCTGCAGCCACACCACAAACCTTTCCACATACCTGTTCTCTGTGTTTGCAAAAATGTACTGGTATGAAGGTGAGTGGAAGACCGTACTCTCTTCTGTCTCCATTTAGAACATTACGGGTATTTAGTTCTGTCTATCATTTTGGTTAATTTTAAAAAGAACCAAAAAACCAACATTAATTTGTGAAACAACCTCCTTGCTTCCAAACTTTACGACTGCTTTTTTAAATGTAAATTTCTGTGGCATATTCTTCTGATCTGTTATTTAAGTCTTTCCACCTTGGACAAATACAAGACTTATGAAGTAAATGATTTCTGTCATATTTCAGTCTAGAAGAAAATGACTGGGTGTGCATCAGTCTGCTCATATAGCTTACTAGAGCTGCCTCTTGAAAAAACTGGAACATTTTATAATGGTTCTCAAACAACATCTTTATTCATATATGTTGACATGTCAAAACATGTCACTTAGGGCACAAGGGAGATTGCCAGATGTTGTATTTATGGGGAAAATAGTTAAGATTGGATTATCCGAGCTGCGTTAGTCTCTGAAAGTAATTCATAGTTACCCTTTTTCTAATTTAATTTAACAATAATGGCAAATTGGAAGTTTCTGCCCAACAAAAAGAAAACGATAAGTGAAGATGAAGAGTCTGCAAATCTGAGGAACATGAGCATCAGAAAGATGACTTTTCCCCCTAATTCATATTTAGTTTACAGCCATCCACTTAAGAACAGTTACTGTCTTAAGAAGAGTAGCAGTCATCTTGCAGTGACAGTCATTGGTTGAGATTGTGAAGCAAAATTAAGATGTTCTATAGTATGCTGCAAAAGTCTTGAGCCCCTTGCATTTCCTTTCCAAGGATCCAGAGATGCAATTGTTATTGCAAATGGTATTGAGCAATAGTTCTCCAGGCTTTATGAAGGACTTTCAAAGATTGTCTTTGGACATTGGCTGCTTTTTCACTCATTTCATTCCAGTTCTTGTACCAAACAATTTTCAGAGGAATGTTTTTTGTTTGTTTGTTAAACCAGTTAACACTGATCTATGAATGATTCAACCAATAAAAAAAATCCAGCAAGCCCACAGGTTGAACCACTAGTGTGTCTACACAAAACCGATAACTAGGCAACTAATTCTTTTTAAATTGTAATTTTACGCACTTTGTCAGCTTGTTGCAGAAATACATTTTTAGTTAAATACATGTAAATTGCCAAAGATAACACTTTCTGACCACTGCAGAACATGTAGTGGTTTTGCGCCAAAAAGATGATTCCAAAAGAGCCATTAGCCAAAACCTTAGCATGTGTCCTTAAAATATTTTGAGGAAGCTGGACAAGTGCAAGAACAGAGAAGTGACAATATTGGAAAAACTATTTAAAGCAGATAAACAGTACCTGAAAGTCATGTCCTTCAGAGACAGGAGAAAAAAAAAAAAAAGACCTGCAACATGCATGTGGCCCTTCAGTTGAACAATCTCCTGTTCACTGAAGCCTCATCATGGTCTCAGTGGAAGGGTGGCTGTCAAGAACCTTTTTTAATAACATCTGGTGGTCAGAGGGCCAGGTGGCGCCAGTGTCCAGCAGCCTCTCCTCTGTCAGTGCGCCCCGGGGTGGGTGTGGCTACAATGTAGCTTGCCATCAACAGTGTGTCAATGTGTGTGTGACTGGGTGGATGACTGAATGTAGTGTAAAGCGCTTTGGGGTCCTTAGGGACTAAGTAAAGCGCTATACAAATGCAGGCCATTTAACAATTTACCATTCCAAATATTGGTATCCAGATGCTATTAAAAACTCTTGTCTTGCCCTCATAAAGTTTATTTCTATCCGATTGTTCAGTCTGACGTCACTAGCCGTGTCTGGGTCTAAACTCCGCTGCAGGTCCATATATCAAACGATCACTATGGCATTACTAAGAGTTGAAAAACTGTCTATAAAGTCTTTCATCTTTAATAAAATGATCAGCGTTCTGCTCTACCAGGTGTAACAATTGAGTTTAACATAGAGCTGGGCG